TAGGGGGGGAAGAATCACTTGATGGGTCAATTCTACTAGGAAAAACTAGATAATTTCATGACATAATTAAGAATCTTATCATGAAAGTCTAATAAAAACTTCAACCTTATATCTTATTTCCATTCTCCACTGTATGGAGGCAAGCAGCAACAGCTAATCTGCAGATGAATATGTCTGCTTTGTAAGTAAATATAACATTTTCCCCACTAAACACATTCTCTCAAATTGACATCGTTGCAGGGAAACATGGTAAAATGCACACAGATGCATCGTCTGATGCATAACTGGTCATGAACACGTGGATGGAGGATACATATGGATGCTACATGTATGAGCACATCAAAGCCAATCGCAAAAGGAGATATTTCAGCAAGTATGCTGCAAAGAGATTTATGCTGCATTCACAAAAATAGATAAAATAAACAACTTCCTCTCTGTCTTTTCTTAGCTTTCCATTAAATTTTTTGGAGCTTTGTAAATACAGGGGGAATGAGTGATTGTGTGCCCAGATTAGAAGTTTGGTAAATTGTAATCCGATAGTGAAAGCTCTAATATTAATGCTCGATGTGTCATCTCTGAATTCATACAGTGTATTGGCCAGATTCATAGGGTTAAAGTTTGCATCATTACAACTAGTACCATTTAAAAATACATTCTATGTTCATATGAGCTGTTTAAAAAAAAAAAAAAAAAAAGATGACAGCATTCATCCACATGTAGACCCACTGACAATTTGACATGGTGACTGGTATAGTGACACAGAGCTTTGTCGCAATGGAGGGAACAAGGCACGTAGTCCTTCAGGTTTTTGTGCTTAGCATTCAGCTTCTTGTCGGCTTCTTAACCTTCCCCCAAAGCCCAGGTTTATTTACAGCAGCCCATGGCTCTCTCTCCCTGCTTTCACATATCCCCTCATCCCCACCCCGCCCCTACGTGTCCTCTAACTAACGGGCTTGGGGAGTTGGTAAAAGATAAGCCTTGTGTTGTGGCAGAGGCAACTGACACCGCTTCAACAACATGGGGATTTAGACGGCAAGCGGCGTACTAATGCCCTGCACGTGCACGGAATCTCTGATGCACTCCCACGCCCATCAGATCATGTACACTTAAAGAAGGATGGTTTGAGTCCACATGTGCACAGGTTTCCACAAACACACGTAAAGATGTTTTCACTGCGTGAGACCAGCAAGACAAAGGACCCGAGGAGCCCGTGTCCAGACAGAGACACGCGCACACAATGAAAACAGCCCCCAGCATGCTCTACTAGAATGCTCACAAAAGTGCTTTTAATTGGTGCAGGGAAAAAAATAAAAAGGCAAATCATGTTTGGAATATAAGCGACGGAGAACAATAGAGGAGAGCAGAGAAACTCAGACATACGTGGATCACTGGAGAAACTAAAAGAAAAGTGACCAGTTTTGGAGTTTTCCTGAAGCTCTACAGCACCATACCTACGGACAAAGCAGCGTTTAAAAGGCTACTTCACTTTCGCTCCCCCTAGACCGCAGGACAATCTCTACTCAGTGAGTAAGTAAAGCCTGAAAAGTCTATGCGAATCCTTTGAGAGGCAAAAGGCCCCCAGGCTCTCTGGGATCCATCCCCACTCCCTCCCCATTCGCCCAGAGCTCCTTTGATGAAAATTAGCTGCCAGTCTATGGCATTCGTTTGATTGACACAACTTCATCCGCAGCTCGCTGACCTTTACAAAGAGAGCAGAGGAAGCAGAGCCGTCTGCCTCACAGCGAGATCAACACAGTGAGAGATAAAACAATAACAACCTCAGAAGCTCAATGAGATGACACAGCATGGAGTTCGACTTCCCACCGAAAGACACGACTAGAACAGGGAGGGTTGATTATGAAACGATGGATGTGTCTGCACATGGTCAACACCAGCGTGTGTGTCTGCTCCAGTGGCAAAAGGCAACGCTTAAAGCCATCAAATGACTTGAGGGAGATAAAAGTTCACACCACAGGCCAGGTCCTGCTTTACAAAGACAAATGAATTAAATCAAACTGTAATCTCCTGCATGCACCGTCTCGTTACCAAATGCTCATAAAGTGAAAACCGTGCCTCTTCTTTCCACTTACTCCAAAGGAGTTGATGTTCTTTAAAATATTCAATTTGCAGCCTCACCAGGTAAAATCCATTAAAGTCAGCCAGTAATGTCAATTGAATTAGGGCTGCTTGGTGTAAAATGTGAATTCTCTGTTCTTTCAGGCGAATGGCTCCGCTGGCACCTTGTTTGCAACTACAAGGCAAATGGGATTAAGAAGAGACGATGGCAACTAATGTAATGACATACCTCACACATCAAGAAAAACTACAGAGAGCACCCTGAAACTGTTCAGAAAAAAATAACTGCACTTTGTTACACACTGCACAAATTGGCACCTACTGGTGTTTGACGTATCTTAGTTAGTCAATTTCTAAATGCTTATCATTTTAACTGGGTTGAGAACTGTCTCTTTCCAATGCATATGGTTTTCTCATTAGTTCTCCCCCTGAGAAGTCTGCAGACCTTGAATTAGAAGCCATTTACAAAAAAACGTGTATCCATACACAATTCAGTTTGTGTTGACTTTCCTCAAACAGGAGAGTCTAAAGTTTATCTCTGGCAATGGAGAATATTTTTCTAATCATTTTAATGTCGTACGTCTGTTGGTAAATGCTTAAAAGGGGTAGTTATACAGTGGGTTCACATTTCTATCTTGTAGCTGGGACTTAAGTTGAGAGGAATAAGCATAATGAAACTAAACCCGAAATAGTAAAGTTTAAAGTTTTGAGTTAAAAAATTTACGCTTTTACGCAAAAAGAGAACATGTAGAAATAGCTGGTAATTCCACCTTTACTGTGTAAAGAAATTGAGTGGTGGCTCTCATGAACTGATTACATGACAAGAATACATGATTCTGACTATACAACAAGACTTCAGAACTTTACAAATGTGACAAATTGTTATCAGTTTTGGATCTGGATCTCTAACAAGTAAATGACCTTTAGTTTAGTAATAAGAAGTGATGGAGCAAACCCCCCACCCACCCATTGTTACACCACTGCTGCACGCGATGTCTGCTCTGTCTTTTTAGTCCCACTGCTCATCATGGATGGTGATTCTTAATCTTAATGCCAAAATTACAGTAGGGGTGTGCTGACCCCTATTACATGACTGAAAGGTCTTGTGCAGAGTAGATTATGGCCACAGCTGGTGGTGATGCCCTTGGACTTTGCACAAGACAATCCATTATTCAGCTGTGAGTGACGAATGACACAGGTGACACCGTAGAAGCGGAAAAGTAGGCAGCAGAAGTTGTGTCCTTGACGAGGTGTCCAGGGAGCTGAGGACAGCTGTTTGAGCTTACGGGACACAAAGCTTCTTTTCATTCCGCCAGACACCTGTAATACTTTCGGATTCACGTGCTCTAACACACCCCTTCAAACGCAGGGAAAATGCACCGCAACAGGTGCATCAGATTCAGCAAATCACACACGTTTTCTTTTGTTCTAACTGACTCAAGCGTGACAGGAGAGGTCCTAAGTGAAGCAACTGAGACAGAGGTAATCTTATTTAGCAGTTTTTCAAACACCTTTAAAATAAACATCTAGCTCAAGGCTTTCTTAATCTCACATTTCAAACATAAAAGCCCGTCAAAATCAAAGAATAAGGCTGTCTCTGAAGCCTATAGATTTCCATGAAAGACTGGTTGGATTATTAGACCGTTTTAATATTTATGCAAAATGTCCAACAGGAGCAGCAACAAACAATACTACACATATTCTTTTCTTTGGTTACATCACAAAAAAGGCCCTCGGAAAGCATTTTGGTTTGTATGTGAAACATTGACCAAATGGACTTCAGGGAAATGATGTTGCCAGATAATAAATAGACTTCAGCTAACTATAGGCAATATTTCTGTATTGGCATAGAATTAACTGAGATGTTGCCAATGGTGACAAAGCCGCAGGTGTTCCCAGCCTCTCAGTATTATTTTTATTTCCGTCTGTCTCTCACTTTGACCAAAAATTGAACTATTTTCCAGTTTTTTTTTTTCATTCTATTTGGTTTGTTTTCATATTGGACAGCAAGCAATCTTAAGGCATAAACAGTATGATGGGTCAACAACATGGATGTGTCCACAATGATAAACGGTGTTTGGTTTCTGCCTTGTTTCATCACCGCTCAATTTGCTATAATCCAATCAGTCATCGCAGGTTGAAGTAAATTGCGGGCCAGATGTTACAGAGTGTGTCAACACAATTCACAGTGGAAACACAAACACGGCAGAGGATGGCAAGGCAATTGTTCACTCAGCTGAGGAGGACTTGAGAATCCCGGCCACTTCATGCCGACACCACAGACAACAGCTAATGCTGTTCATTGCCATAAGGAGGCTGTCATTACTGAAGTATTATGTCATTATCAATATTGAAAATGAAATACCCCTTAAACACACTGATTCCCTTAAGCATATACTAATGAGGAGAATCAATGCCATGACAGACACTCAGGCTTATTGAACCTGATGAGTCGCATTTTATATGGTTGAAAGATAGACTTTATATGGCACTTATTTGATGTCTTGTTATTTCATTGACAGGGTGCACTCAGTGTGGCTTATTCATGGCTGCCTCTGACTATTCAGTGGCATTACAGGGATGAGAGGACAGAGATATGGAAAAGAAAAGGGAAGAAAAGATTAAAGCACTCCGAAGGTTGATTAATCTGCCTTTTTCTTTGGTGTTTGCTATCCGTTCCTTTGACTGTTCTTCCTGGAATCAGTATTTCTGATATTCTCTGAAAGCAACCTTGAGCCAATTCAGTAAAGGTACGTAGAATATACGCAGCACCGGCACACGGCAATGACTCCCTATTGCTCCAAGTGCACATTATTTGCAGCCTGCCTCATTTCCCGTTAACTAAGGTTGTTTACTCTGTACACAGAATGAGTTAATGAGAGGGTGACAGTCAATTCCAGTCAGCTGAAGAGTCTGTAATGAACCTATACACAGTAGCGAGGTGGAACTTTCCAAAAACCTACAATAAATATAAAAAAAGATACATATTTTACAATACATATTTTCATACTGCAAATAAACAGTTTAAGCTGTCATAGAGGACCACATGAAGACAAAGGTCTCTTGGGAACAGATGATTTAAGGCACTATACAGCCTACATTGATTATAATATTTAAGGCATGTTGTTAGGGAGTTTTAGGAATACTTTTTAAAAACTCTACTCTAATAAAGCAAACCCACCAGTGATATCTTTACCTTTTGTTGCTATATGTTTGCAGCACAGAAACAGCAAAACCCAAGGTTTCCCTTCAGCTTCCATGGACTGAAAACATGTACAACTGACACGGTATCAAACATTAGAGGGGCCAAAGCAAGAGTTGTAACTGTATTAGACTTCATGCTTCACAGCATGAGAGAGGAGTGCTGCAGTTTGCTCAAAAAGATATTGTAGGCTTTTGCCAAAGCTCAGAAGTAAGGATATAACTGACACTCCCGTCCTCTGCTGAGCAGCAAGGAGATGGGAACGTCACACAGTAAATTGCCGACCGAGCAGGAAAGCAGGATCCAGTGAAATTTGCATTTTAACATCCACAGTACACAAAAGTGTCAAGAACCAACGCCATACAAGATGATGCACGAAAGGTGAGGAAGAGGTGAGGTGGGGGGAATATTTGAAGGGAGTCAGACTGTGAAAAGAGAGAAACGGAAATCACAAGAGGAATCATATAGAAAATTTTAACGTGTTGGGTTGGCAATTTTTCACCTACTCTTGTCGCCCCTTACATTCCTTCAGCTGTCAGAAGGGGCTAAGAACAGAGAGAGAGACCCCTGATGAAAAATGTAGGGCTAAAAATACATGTCAGCTTCCAGACTGGGTAGGTAATATTACATCTCCATTTTTTCCCTTCGGAAAATCACCCGAACTGGAGGAACAATTTAAGAGGACTTCATGCACCAAATAGTTATCCAAGCTCGTCGTGCTAATAACGAGAGGTCAGATTTTGTGCACTCTTAATCAGAATATGCGTATCACCGTCAGAAACTTTTACAGTCCTTCTGCTGTTGCCTACTCAAGCTATCAAAGGTGAGGCAAATAATTATCTGAAGTGCTTTTCTTTTCAGTTTTCCAATAGCTTTCCACACACTTGAGTTGTCATGCCTGTTTAATTTGGGGGAATGTGTAGATTTTCAGTATTAATAAGCAGTTGGATATGTTTTATTGATTAAATCAGGCTTGATTACAAACCAAAGATGATTAGAAATGATGATGAGTTTTGGGAAATAATAAAGTTGAAAAAATTCACTGTGAACTTCTTGGTTATACTGCAACTCAAAATCTGCGATTTAGTAGTTTCAACTAGTTGATGGGAAGGACAAAAAAACTAAACAGATGCATGCATATAGTGATAAAGCACAGAAATCTAAATATGCAATGCTGGGCAAGGAAGCTAAAGCCTATTCTCAAGTAATCAGCTAATTGAAATATTAGCATCCATTCATCTATTTCACATTCAAATCTTTTTGTTTTGATCTAGAATTTTAATGTATTTTATCTATATAGACAAAGTGAGGACTAATTCAGATATTGTCAGGCTCAGGACAATACATGTTAAAACATTCCTGTTAGAGAGGTGATCAGGAAAAATCCATAATCCCCTTTCTGTGCCCTCAAGGTGACACATGTTTTAAAAGAACCTTTAATCTTAGTGGATATAAAGAGCTCTTTAAAAAGCCATTTTGTGGCCTTTGTTGTGTGCGTGTCTAGGTGTGTGTAAGTCCGTGTGTGTGTAAGAACTTTCTCTTGTGTCCTCTGTCTTGTGAAGAAAAAGCGGTGGCAGTGATTGTGTGGAAAGGTTACTTCAAAGTTTCCTCTCCGGAATAAAACAGCTGACCCGTCACCCTTCTTTATGGCCACCATTATGCCTTTTATACAGACGATGTGGGCAAATGTTGTAATTTACTTTTTCAGTGCTCGTGATGGTCATGATGGCATTCACCTATTTCTTTGCCGGTCACTCTAACTTCTACCATCCTTTTTCTGTGTTTTGGACAACTTGAGCATTTGATCATTAATTTGAAAAAGCAAATCAAGTCACAAGAAATGCCTTTAATTAAACTCGAGAGCTCTGATTGTTAGCTCAGTCTCTCTCAAGTGCTCGTCTGAGCACATGCTGTGTGGTAACGTGCTTATCTTCACCGATGGGCTACTCGCCGCCTCCACATGGGGAGTGGAGCGGCTGCAAACATTTGTAACTCCACCGGTCTCTCGTCTCCTCCTTGTTCCTGTCCTCAGTTGGCTGGCGCTATCCCCACCCCGTGCCATCTTCCCTGCACTTCCTCCAGCGTGGGACAGTTATCTCCCAGTATCAGCTGGAAATGTGATGGATGGCAGGTGGAGGTGGAGGGAACAGAGCTCCTCAGAGCCCGTCAGACTCACTCCCTGTATCCATTAGTCTTCCATTTAGACCAGTGTGAGCCAGCCACCCTGATCACACACACACACACACACACACACACACACACTCGGATTTTCTGGTCAGTGATGAATCCCTAACTGTCCTCCTGCCGGATGAGCCCAGCCTCTGCTCTGATGAGAGAAAGAGGCCACCATGGTTCATTTCTCTCAGTATTTAGCAACCAATTTGCTCTACGTTCCTAATAACAAATGCTGCAGGAGGGGCTGCCATCCTCCTTATGTCTGTTGACCTCAAATGCATGTTGCTGAGGACTGGACTGTTCCCTGTAGGAGAAGTATACAAAGAGCCAAACCACAACAGGAGAAACTTGGGATTAGCTACGACCTGTTTTCTCTCTTTCTTCAGGAATTCTTGCTGTGCACCTGCACACAAGGCTACAAATCTGTTAGAAGTGTAATTCTGCTACCTGTTGTGCAAACCGCAGGATCATTGATCCCAGCCTGGAAGATCGAGCAGGGACTGACAGGGAGAAAAGATCACAGAGGGCCTACAGAGAATCAATCGATGGTACCGATCAGCTCCTTCTGCTGCCCTAAAAAGGCCCAGACCTCTGACATCTGCCCCGGGAAAACTCGTGTTGAACACAGAGCCTCTGACATTGAAGGCACCAGATGAAAGTAAAGGTTGTGACCTTTGGAAATGCCAGACATTAGTACAAAATAACTAAATTTGAGAGTGCATGTAGATTGCCAGAGTTTGGTAGCAGATTGGTCAAATCCCAAGTTGTAGAACTGAGAGTCAGCCAAGCTGTAAATACAGAGTAAAAAAACAGCTACACTGGCTGGAATGAAAGAGCGACATTTGATTTATACTCAGCGGGCATGTAAGCTTTATCAAGATACATTAGTCAAGGTGAGGTAAAACATCTCCATCAAGGAGCCAAAGCAATGTACTGTGAGTTTAAGCCAAATATTGCATTATGCCCCCGCAACTTCCTGGCAAAAGATCTAATCATTCAAGTAATTTCACGTTTTATCTCCATATTCCTTTTAAAAGAACAAGGTCTTTACAGGTTAATAATGGTTTCTTTCAAAGGTTATTACAGGAGAAAGATGATAAAATGTAAAGAAGGATGCTTACATTTTAATAGTCTAGACCTCTGCTCAGTTTGTATCAAGGGACTGCCTACATTTGAATATGGTTTATTAAAATAGCGTACCTGAAAATGAATTCAACACACACACACGAACAGAGAGCTCTGCCACTGTGTAAGAATCACACAAACATAAGATTTCATTCCATAAAAATGTCAAACGTTTACTACGAGCATTTCATTCTATACACTGTAGTCTGTGAAACAGATCTTTATTAATTGTTTTCTATTTTGTTTTGTTCATCGTGATTCTCTTTAAGGCAGCTTTAGGCAGACTAAACAAAATGTTGACAAAAAGAGACTCATATTTCACTCCAGATGTGACTTACCATGAAAATGACTGAATTCTTCATATTTCAAAAGCCTGTGCAAACCAGGTTTCCTCCAGGGCAATAGATGGTCAGAAATCATGGTGTGAACATAAACACCTTGTCATTTTAATCATCACGGCGACCTGTGTGAGCCTCTTCTTCCTTGATGACATTATTCCCCAAACCTCCTCTGCTTTCCAGCAGTGCTCCTGCTGATTTGAGGAGGGAAATAAAGGTTCTAGATCTATTTTGTCAAGTGTTGCTCTGATGTTTCAAAACCAACAGTTTTGATTTAGAAATTTCCAAAAGCACGTGACCAAGACACATAGTAAACCCTAGTAAAAGCCAAATACCAAAATTGCACATAGAACAAATAACAAAGTAATGGTATTTTTACCATTATTTATACTTACATATTCTGTTTTAGCAGTATATGTTTATTTAGTGTCATGGTAAAATGGGTCCGATTTAGGAAAATATTGTTTTTTAAGACTCTAACCTATACAGCTACACTTAAATAAAGTGAGAAGGTGTGATCAAGGGAAAACCAAAATATTAACATCTGAAATATTCAAGAGCATGAGGTATGACATTTTTTAAATACTCAAGTGAGGCATTCAAACCCTAATTGTATACCTTATCATTGAATACCTTGTATGTAAGTGTAGTACTTGACTACTGCAATCTCTTTGGATGAGAAACCTTTCTCAGTTTAAAAGGAATTGCTTCAGATAAGGTGTAACTGTCCACTTGGACTCTAGCATAATGTCTTTAGAATTCAATGGCTTTTAGTTAATAGTCATAGTAACACAGTCATTTTCACATTATGACTCATATCATGAAGGACACATATTAGTAAAACGTGTTTTAAAGGCTTGACCTGTCATAATGATGTCACAGGGAAAAACTCCTATTGTATAAGGTACACCAGTCATCTTTTACAAGCATCAAAGGAAGAGGTTATTCAGTTGTATCTCTGATGCACACACAATTAAATAGCAGAGGTTGATGTTACATTTTTACCATTAACGACTGTTTCCTCCTTGGTTGTGCAGCCACATAAACAATATTAGTCCTGCATTTGTTGTTGTTTTATATGTTGACCTGGACTCAAAATTTCTAATTGCCCATTTCTGAACATTTTCCAACATTAATATTTTTTAAATTAAAAAAGTATGTAAAAGGATACAACAACATGTGATATTGGGATTAAGACTAATATTAGTTCATCTATCTGTAAAGATTCTCATTAATCCAGGTCATGGTCAAGCTTGAAAACTTCGGTTTAGGCAACTGGACGTGAAGTTAATCTAAAATGTTTCACATCTCCAATTTTTGCATCTCCAATCAGTCTTGTTTGTTTTTTTCCATTGTGCTTATTTGCTTAAAAGTTGTGTGCTGCAATGCTCAGAAATAATGAGTGTAGAATGAAATAGTTGAACCATGAGTGCAAAATCATCAGAGCGCATGTAAGTCCTCATTTTAATGGTAAGATCAATAGTGACCACTGTCATATTATGAAAACATATCTTTCAATGCAAAATTGTGAATCGTGCACAAGCATAAAAGTGTTCTCGAATTTTTAATTAACCTTTCACTCAAGTGTGGCTTCATAAGAAAACTGTACGTGTGGTACATTTATGCATTCTGAACTGATGCCTGTTAATTTCAATGTCACAGATTATTAAAATGGTGTATTCCCAACAGGCTTGGTATTGCAATTACATAACATGTTGGGGATATCAAGTATGTGGAAGTGTAATGACACTCTGCCTAAAACCATTGATTTAATTCAGCTCTGGTAGCCGGCTCATGCTTGAGGATGTGATAACAGTGGCATAGAGAACTGCACTTCTAGTACCAGTCTGCATAGCCACCTCATTTGTTTACTTTTAGATTGGATTTACTAGCACATTCTTATCAAATAAATCTACACATTTAATTTGTTTCAGTTTTTTTACTGTAGCCTATATAAAAAAAAAGATTATTTATCGAGCAAATATATAACCATATTTGATAAGTAGTGATACTGAATAAAGATCTAACCGTCTTCTGTGGATGTTCTTTTAAAATAAAGACATTGGCAAGCCCAAAAGAACAAATTTCAGCTGTAAAAACATTTTTGTGGCGCATTAGGGTATTATTCTTACTTTGGTAGGGGATCTGAATGTGGGTCTTTACATTTAACAAAGCTAACAATGGAAATCATAAGATTTACATGACTGACTTACTGTCAGCTTTAAAGAGCATGGAGCAGAAATTTATATAAAATCATGACCATGAACCAGATTCGTACCAAGTATTAAAAAATGAAAATTGGAAAACAGACAAAGCCAAGAGATAATGTAACATGTAAAACAGTTGAGTGGATTATATACCGATTAAATGGACAGGATACAGCGTGCTAATTAATAGGCTTTAAAATTGCAAGTGGTTGTGTTTCCTTATCTTTTAGGACAGCTGAGCAAGCTGTTTCCAATGAGGCCATGCTAATTGGTTATTGCCCCCCCTGGCTTAACATTTAGGGTACAGAAAAGTCAGTTCCAATTGAAATACAAACAAAAACATTATATTTAGATTTCTGGATTATTAATGCTTCCTTAAAGGAAAGACACAAGCATATTCAGAAAGAAAAAAATAATAATATGGCCATCCAATTTTCATCTACAGATCATGATAAAATTGTGTTTATACATAGAGGAAGGATAATCCTGTTATTTTTCTTTGGCTCTTCTTATCTAAATGTCTATACAGCAGGGGAGTCAGGGACCCTCTGATATTCACTTCAAACTGTTGACTAAGTTTTTTCTTCCTCTGACTTTTGCCGCTTGAGATCAAGAGTGCAAGTATGTGAGATAATTAGTCAGTGTCAGCGAACAAGTGGACGTAAGCATCAGGAAAGCAATAACCCAACAAGCTACAGAGTTGGGCAAGGGTTTAAGGACACATTTAAGACCATGGAAATAAATGGGGAAATCGTTTAGTTTAGTATCATTGTGTTCCTCCAAGAAAAAGCAATAACTCATATCACTGCACTTCCAGACTGCTGATAAGCAGAGCATCACTCACAATTAAACGGACAATAAAAAATGAGCCAGAGAGTTACAGTGAAAGCAGGGTCTCCGAGATATACTGTTGTTCTCTGGCCATTAGTGGGGTGATGGATGGATGTTGTTATAGCAGTCCTAAACAATCAAATTAGCTCCACTCTATAACTGTTTTTATTTTTCATTATATGCTATAATGCAAAGAATGAAGTATAAAAACGTCATAACTATATTGTGAAGATTATCTTAATAATAAATTGTCATTACTTTGAATGGACATATAAGAAATAGGACAGAAAATAGTTCAAATAAGCCTGGCAAAATAAACAGTACAACTGACCCAATATTAAACAAGAGCTTCAAGTAAAAGGGGTTTCACTTCAAGGCTGTCATTA